GGGGGATGTGATCATATGTATATAATTGTGTCATCGCTCCAAGTAAATAATACAATTGAAAAAGCACAAGATACAGGATGATAGCGGTTTCATAATTTTTATACAAAATTTGGCTTTTACGGCAAATAAAAGAGTGAACTAAATAAAATTAAAGAATTAATTTTTTCAGTATAATCCTTTTTTGAGATACCAAGTGAACCTGATAGGAGAAAAGAATTCACTAACATGAATTAGACCGCAATTTATGATTTTTTATCTTTCAGTCATGTCCAATATTCCAAAATTTTGTGAACCAATTGATTTTAAGGTGTCAAAAAATAGAAAATGTAAAGAAATATCCTTTAAGCCATAACTTATCTTGCAAGTCTGATTTCGATTAATGCAAAAGAAGCAAAAAGTTCTAATAAGTACCAGAACTAGCAATATCATATCATGCTTATAGTGCTGCTATAAAACTCGTGTTTATGCATTTTTGGAATACACAAGAAAAATTGAGTATTTATTTGGTTCCAATCTTAACGTTTCTTGGCTAATCTGCACCAGTTTTTACAAACATGATACGATGTTGACAAATTGGTAATAGTTATTGTTCTTTTTCACAAGGGCTGATATCAGAAGTAAGCTCCAATTGCTGCTTCAACAAAAAAAACTCAAGACACTCCAAGAAAACAAAGGTTAGAATGTCTTTCTTCTTCAACTAGGACAAGCATAGAATATCAAATTCTAGGAACAGAAATAGTTAACGATTTCTAGGAACAGAAAAAAGAAACTGAAAAACTAGAAACATCCCAAAGCACCTGAATTCTATGTTGAGCATTTTACCACTAAAACCCTAAAATATAGGTAATTAGTGATAACCCCGTGCCTGACACGGTGCATCATAAGTGAGAAGTGACGGATTTGAGAGGGTAGAAATTCAATGTGAATTGTTTTGAGAGAGATGTTAGAGACCGATAGATGAGTCTATTTCAGACCGTCGAATGAACTTATTGAAGTCTGTCATATTTAATATTATAGATTTTATACAAATAAAAGTAATATTCTATAATATTTAATCTTCTTACAAATTCTATATTTTACTCATTTTTTACTATATATTTCATAATTTTTGAATCAAAGGAAGCTCCAACAAATCATACCAATACTCTAAGGAATCAATTTTAGTTTGTTAATTTTAACAAATTTGGTATGAACTTTTTTTTTGTTCTAATACCCAACTTGTTTGACCCAATTAATTTTATTTTTCATAAATCATTAAAACGGGCCCAATAAAGAATATCTAAAAAAAATATATAAAACATATATAACTAAAAAAAAATATATCAGGGTGTTTGCCAATGCTAGAGAGAGAGAGTGAGTGAAGAGTGAAAAAATGAAGGTAAAATTCAATATGAATGGTTTTCAAAGAGATGTTGGTGGTTGTTGGATGAGTTTATTTGAAACTGTTGGATGAACTTATTAAAGTTTTTTCTGTTTTATATTATAGATAAATTCACGAAATATAATAGAATTGACTTAAAAAAACATTAATTTATATACATGTAATCAAAATTGAGTCAAATTTAATATAAATTAAAAATCTAATTTATCAAAAAACATATTGCTAAAATATGTTTTATCAAAAAAAGATCTACAAATATCATTTATAAAATATTTTTTTAATTAGTATAAGTTATTACAAAATTATTAATTTATAAGAATATATTAGCATTGGATTTTCTTAAGAGATAAAAAAAATTTGTCTTGAACCTTTGATTCAAGACATGTTAGTTTGAGATAATTAATTAAATAAATAAAATTAAAATTAATTATATTCAATATAAATGTGTTAAGTAGTGCCCTTGTTTTTTTTTATTTATTAAATTAATGAGTTTTTTTTAGTCAAAATGTTATAAAAATTCAAATTGTTACACTACACATATAATATTAAAAAAAATATAAATTTTTTTTTTTAGGGTGACCCCAGACCCCTCCTCCTCTGCCCCCTGCTAGAGAGAAAGAGTGAAGAGTGAGAAGAGATTCAATATGAATGATTTTGAGAGAGATTTTGGTGGCCGTTGGATAAATGAATTTTATACCGTAGGATAGGCTTATTGAAGCCACCCTATTTTATATTATGGATATTATAGATAAATCCATGAAATATGATAAAATTGACTTAAAACAAATGTTAATTTATATACATGTAATCAAAATCGAGTTAAATTTAATACAAACTAAAAATTTAATTTATCAAAAAGCATATCGTCAAAATATTTTCTATCAAAAAAAATCTACAAATATCATTTATAAAATATTATTTTTTTAATTAGTACAAGCTATTACAAAATTATTAATTTAAAAGAATATATTAGTATTGAGTTTCCTTAAGATATAAAAAAAATTAGTCTTGACTTTTTGATTCAAGATATGTATAAAACATGTTAGTTTGATATAGTTAATTAAATAAATAAAATTAAAATTAATTATATTCAATATAAATGTGTTAAGTAACGCTCTTGTTTTGTTTTATCTTAAATTGATGAGCTTTTTTTAATCAAAATGTTATCATTGTGTCTAATACAAATTCAAAATATTACAGTACATAGAAGATATTAATGGCTAATTTGACCCATTTAATTATTATGTTAGAGAAAATTATGTATTTTAAGATCAGTCGTAATCGTTGACTTTTTAAGGGGAGAAATATTAAGGAAAAAAATTATAATTTGTTGACCGTTGGATGAATGAATTTGAGGCCGTAGGATGTGTTCCAAGATCAACCGTAATCGTTGACTTTTTGGGGAGAGAAAATATTGAGCAAAATAATTGTAATTTCTTGACCGTTGGATGAATGAATTTGAGACTGTAGAATCGACTTGTTGAAGCCGCCCTGTTTTATATTATAGATGTAATACATCCATTTGGATATGAGTGAATAGAAAGAGTTCTTACAATCTTCAATAGTCTCTTCCATTATATTTTTTAAGTGAGTGTGTTATAGTCTTCTAGATTTCAGTTATAGTCTTCTAGATTTCAACAAAGTGGTATCAGAGCTAGGCTTGAGTGTTGAAAAGAGAGAGTGAGAGAGAGAT